GTTTATTGTTTATCATTTTTTATTACTCTGTGTCTTTAGACACGAGTAATAACTAGTATATATTCAAAAAAAAAAAGAACCGAACGTTATTTGAATCCTATTTTCTTTGTTTTGAGACTTCTTTGAATCTTTATAGCATTGCTTTTGAATACGTCCTTTCGTTCCCCATTAGGATTTTAATGTACCATTGCTATTATATGGTAGTTATGACCAGTTGTTGATGAGCCATTTGATTTGTGGACCAAGACTTTCCATATTGGAGTCCTTTGGGGAAACCAAAAAATATTAAAATGTTTGGTATTCCAACACAAATGGATATTCTCAAACCGCCTTAATCAACCCACCCTCGAGATTTGTCGTTGGTCTAATGTTCTTGGTCTCGTTAATAGATTTTAAGGTCATGGATTTAAATTTCATCATCCCTCTCTCGTGTGATAGTGTCTAATAAAAGAAACACCCTCTTTTTGTTTTCTCTCTATGAGCAAAAATTAAAATAAAATAAAAAAACAAACTCATTCCATTTCATTTTTGGTTGAGCCATTTAAATGCAATAATAATGTTTCCATTTAGGAAAATACTATTTGGATGGATTGAAAGTAGACTTCTTCCAACCTTGAAACTCAACTAATTTAATGACTATAATAAATTAGGTCCCTGATGAAGTACCTATAACATTATTCTTTTTATTGGCCAAGGCCGTTACTTTTCCACCAGAAGGTCTTGGGATACTACACACATGCAGAGAGATTCATTTTGTAATTTAAATTGGTAATATCATATTCAAATAGAATAATCTTATCGCTGTGTTAAGGTCCACTCGACTAATAAATTGGGATTATTTTAGCAAAAGACAAACCAAGCAAGTGAAGCGTCACCTGATGATCCAAAAGAACAGGAGAAATGCTACCATAAGACAGACTCGTGCTGATATTGCTCAACTCCTCCAGAATGGTCTGCATCACATTGCACCACCTAGGATAATTTCACATACATAAACTACTTAATTGCCACATCTTCCTTTTGATCAACATAAGAATATAGTATGATACTCTGCGCATAAATGGGGATAACCAAGCAAAATAGCATGTTTCTTAAGCTTATTTTGCAATTTAGACAAAAGGTAAATAAAAATTTAAGCTCAACTAGTGTATCTGTCACGGGGTTAATTTTTCTCACTAAATTTTTGCCTCGTGATGGCACTAAAATCCCACACTTAATCTTAGTTAGACACTCAGAATGTACACAAAATACACATAGAACAGAGNTTTTCTGCCTCGTGATGGCACTAAGATCCCACACTTAATCTTAGTCAGACATTCAGAATGTACACAAAATACACATAGAAAATAGTAGAAACAGTAATCAGACACACAGACAAAGCACACAGAATTTACAAGCAACAGTCAAACCTTTCTTTCTCAATAAAGTATAAGGAACTCAGCCTTGGGGTTTGTTTACAAAAACGTGTCAACTCTATTGTTGCACTACAGACCNATTTTTGCCTCGTGATGGCACTAAAATCCCACACTTAATCTTAGTTAGACACTCAGAATGTACACAAAATACACATAGAACAGAGTAGAAACAGTAATCAGACACACAGACAAAACACACAGAATTCACAGGCAACAACCAAACCTTTCTTTCTCAATAAAATATAAGGAACTCAGCCTTGGGGTCTGTTTACAAAAATGTGTCAACTCTATTGTTGTACTACAGACCCCAAGCACCCCATTTATAATGTTCAAGGTGGCGGTTACAAGCCCAACCGCCTAGGCACATGTCTGCAATTCAAATGCTACCAGAGATCTGCTGTGATTGGATGACATGGAAGTTATAATTGATGTCTGCATGCTTGTCTGAATCTGTCAGAGATCCCACATGCTCTGCACTTGCCATAAAACTGTCAAGAACTACCACCATCTACAAGTCACATGCCCAACTTCCTCACATGTTGTGCATGTGTCAGGAACCCTCAGCATCCAAATTGCGTTGCCTTCATGCCTAACTATAGCCCAACCCATGGCTCATTATTCAAGCTAGCATCGCCCCACAATTCAAGCCACCCGTTTCCTTGCTTGCATGCTGACTTGTGCCAAGTGCCCATGTGCATAGACTGTCTCCCTTAGTCATGCATGAGACTTCTACTATTTTGGCTAAGGCATGAGTGCCTTTGGGCAAGGCCACCCGATTTCAAATGCTGCCAATGGCTAAGGGAGTAATAGTATCTTACAAGTTGATGTTACACATTTTTTCAAGTTGAGCTCAAGTGGGTTGAATTTTATTTGACCTTGGATGCCAGTTAGCCTATCAACCCGAGCTTAAAAAGTTTAGTTAAAAAATGTGTTCACACGTGACACATATTATATGAGTCAGACTTGAACACATTTTTAACTGATACGAATGTGGGAGTCACTTGGTCAGCCCTAGACCATATGCATTTCAATACAATAAATTGAATGGTTTCACCATGGCTCTACACTTGGGATGTTGGATTCAAATCTAAAAACAGTTCACCAAAATACCATTCAAAAATAACCCAAAATAATTTCTCTTATAATGCCACCAACAAGGCTTTAGTACAAAATATGAAAGGGCCCAAGTATATGGACAAACACATCAAAAACCAAGACTGCAAGACAAATGATATATATATATATATATAGATAAAGACGAGATCATGTTATGTCAAGTTCGTTTTTTCATTCATAAGCTACATGGACGATGTAGTTTACTAAGACAATGTTGTTGCAAATTCAAGGGTTGAGCAACTTTATAAGGATGAGTATGTATTCTCTGCGTATAGTCAGGTTGAGATTTTTTGTGATTGCATTATCACCAACCTTCGCGATATTAGCAAGCGCAGGTAATTTAGCCAAGCAAATACTCTCTCTTTNGTCTGCTATAATTGGATGACAGGAAAGTTATAACTGATGTCTGCATGTTTGTCTGAATCTGTCAGAGATCCCACATGCTCTGCACTTGCCATAAAACTGTCAAGAACTACCACCATCTACAAGTCACATGCCCAACTTCCTCACATGTTGTGCATGTGTCAGGAACCCTCAGCATCCAAATTGCGTTGCCTTCATGCCTAACTATAGCCCAACCCATGGCTCATTATTCAAGCTAGCATCGCCCCACAATTCAAGCCACCCGTTTCCTTGCTTGCATGCTGACTTGTGCCAAGTGCCCATGTGCATAGACTGTCTCCCTTAGTCATGCATGAGACTTCTACTATTTTGGCTAAGGCATGAGTGCCTTTGGGCAAGGCCACCCGATTTCAAATGCTGCCAATGGCTAAGGGAGTAATAGTATCTTACAAGTTGATGTTACACATTTTTTCAAGTTGAGCTCAAGCGGGTTTAATTTTATTGACCTTGGATGCCAGTTAGCCAATCAACCCAAGCTTAAAAAGTTTAGTTAAAAAATGTGTTCACACGTGACACATATTATATGAGTCAGACTTGAACACATTTTTAACTGATACGAATGTGGGAGTCACTTGGTCAGCCCTAGACCATATGCATTTCAATACAATAAATTGAATGGTTTCACCATGGCTCTACACTTGGTATGTTGGATTCAAATCTAAAAACAATTCACCAAAATACCATTCAAAAATAACCCAAAATAATTTCTCTTATAATGCCACCAACAAGGCTTTAGTACAAAATATGAAAGGGCCCAAGTATATGGACAAACACATCAAAAACCAAGACTGCAAGACAAATGATATATATATATATATATAAAGACGAGATCATGTTATGTCAAGTTCGTTTTTTCATTCATAAGCTACATGGACGATGTAGTTTACTAAGACAATGTTGTTGCAAATTCAAGGGTTGAGCAACTTTATAAGGATGAGTATGTATTCTCTGCGTATAGTCAGGTTGAGATTTTTTGTGATTGCATTATCACCAACCTTCGCGATATTAGCAAGCGCAGGTAATTTAGCCAAGCAAATACTCTCTCTTTTTTCTTCTTTTTTTTCGCTTCTAATTTTTGTGAAAGGAACCAACATTTTAACAATATTACATATNATCTGCTGTGATTGGATGACATGGAAGTTATAATTGATGTCTGCATGCTTGTCTGAATCTGTCAGAGATCCCACATGCTCTGCACTTGCCATAAAACTGTCAAGAACTACCACCATCTACAAGTCACATGCCCAACTTCCTCACATGTTGTGCATGTGTCAGGAACCCTCAGCATCCAAATTGCGTTGCCTTCATGCCTAACTATAGCCCAACCCATGGCTCATTATTCAAGCTAGCATCGCCCCACAATTCAAGCCACCCGTTTCCTTGCTTGCATGCTGACTTGTGCCAAGTGCCCATGTGCATAGACTGTCTCCCTTAGTCATGCATGAGACTTCTACTATTTTGGCTAAGGCATGAGTGCCTTTGGGCAAGGCCACCCGATTTCAAATGCTGCCAATGGCTAAGGGAGTAATAGTATCTTACAAGTTGATGTTACACATTTTTTCAAGTTGAGCTCAAGTGGGTTGAATTTTATTTGACCTTGGATGCCAGTTAGCCTATCAACCCGAGCTTAAAAAGTTTAGTTAAAAAATGTGTTCACACGTGACACATATTATATGAGTCAGACTTGAACACATTTTTAACTGATACGAATGTGGGAGTCACTTGGTCAGCCCTAGACCATATGCATTTCAATACAATAAATTGAATGGTTTCACCATGGCTCTACACTTGGGATGTTGGATTCAAATCTAAAAACAGTTCACCAAAATACCATTCAAAAATAACCCAAAATAATTTCTCTTATAATGCCACCAACAAGGCTTTAGTACAAAATATGAAAGGGCCCAAGTATATGGACAAACACATCAAAAACCAAGACTGCAAGACAAATGATATATATATATATATATAGATAAAGACGAGATCATGTTATGTCAAGTTCGTTTTTTCATTCATAAGCTACATGGACGATGTAGTTTACTAAGACAATGTTGTTGCAAATTCAAGGGTTGAGCAACTTTATAAGGATGAGTATGTATTCTCTGCGTATAGTCAGGTTGAGATTTTTTGTGATTGCATTATCACCAACCTTCGCGATATTAGCAAGCGCAGGTAATTTAGCCAAGCAAATACTCTCTCTTTTTTCTTTTTTTTTTTCGCTTCTAATTTTTGTGAAAGGAACCAACATTTTAACAATATTACATATCTTAGATGTTTTTCATTAGTTTTTTGGAATGTTCTTAAATGGCTGACTTTGTGTTTTGATTAATGGTTGTAGCAAATTATCTAACGATGTTAGTGAAGCTGTGTCAAGTTTGATATTTGCTGCATCAAGGTGTGGTGAATTGCCAGAGCTACATTTGATGTGAAATGTGCTCAGACACCGTTTTGGTCAAGAATTTGAAAGAAGTAATGTTGAATTGCTACCTGGGAATAATGTGAACTCTCAAACAAAACACAATCTTGATACAAATCCTGTATCAGATGACCTAAAGCTACAATTAACAGCCGATATAGCTAAAGACTATACTCTTTGTTTGGAGCATCAAGTTGACGAACAGAACTTAGTACCAAAATGTCAAGAGGTGTGTTTACATTTTGATAACTTGATTTTTCTGTGTTTTGTAGCTCTGCATACTTTGATTAAACTTATTTTCCATTGTTCTAGGATTATTAACATTCTTCTTTAACTTGAAGCTCCAATTGTGCGACTCCTCAAGGAAAAATCATGATTCAATAAAGAAAGAAGAGTTTTCAGATTTTGTTGATACATAAGGTAAAGGTAAGAGTCCAAAATTTGAGAACATTCTGCGCAGGATTGGATCTAACTTTTCCTCATCATCTTGTAAGAACTTGGCGACTTTTTGGTGTGATTCTTATAATGGTTCGGAGAGTGGTGGGGGTTGTGGTAATATGGTTGCGGATCAAATGGAGAATCATGAACATTTATCAAATAGTTCTACATCACATTGTTCACCTCCAATTCAAAAGATGGTTATTACCCTGATGATATAGAAGATCAGTCTTTTAGTGGAAAAGGTTTCCATGGTAAGAACAAGCTTAGCTCCAAGAAACATGGAACGACGAAGACTTTAAATGGCAAATGCAACAATGATGGAGAGTATGGAATATACTATGAATCAATTCAAGAGAACGCAATTNATCTTAGATGTTTTTCATTAGTTTTTTGGAATGTTCTTAAATGGCTGACTTTGTGTTTTGATTAATGGTTGTAGCAAATTATCTAACGATGTTAGTGAAGTTGTGTCAAGTTTGATATTTGCTGCATCAAGGTGTGGTGAATTGCCAGAGCTACATTTGATGTGAAATGTGCTCAGACACCGTTTTGGTCAAGAATTTGAAAGAAGTAATGTTGAATTGCTACCTGGGAATAATGTGAACTCTCAAACAAAACACAATCTTGATACAAATCCTGTATCAGATGACCTAAAGCTACAATTAACAGCCGATATAGCTAAAGACTATACTCTTTGTTTGGAGCATCAAGTTGACGAACAGAACTTAGTACCAAAATGTCAAGAGGTGTGTTTACATTTTGATAACTTGATTTTTCTGTGTTTTGTAGCTCTGCATACTTTGATTAAACTTATTTTCCATTGTTCTAGGATTATTAACATTCTTCTTTAACTTGAAGCTCCAATTGTGCGACTCCTCAAGGAAAAATCATGATTCAATAAAGAAAGAAGAGTTTTCAGATTTTGTTGATACATAAGGTAAAGGTAAGAGTCCAAAATTTGAGAACATTCTGCGCAGGATTGGATCTAACTTTTCCTCATCATCTTGTAAGAACTTGGCGACTTTTTGGTGTGATTCTTATAATGGTTCGGAGAGTGGTGGGGGTTGTGGTAATATGGTTGCGGATCAAATGGAGAATCATGAACATTTATCAAATAGTTCTACATCACATTGTTCACCTCCAATTCAAAAGATGGTTATTACCCTGATGATATAGAAGATCAGTCTTTTAGTGGAAAAGGTTTCCATGGTAAGAACAAGCTTAGCTCCAAGAAACATGGAACGACGAAGACTTTAAATGGCAAATGCAACAATGATGGAGAGTATGGAATATACTATGAATCAATTCAAGAGAACGCAATTGATTACCGGAAGATCTTAGTCGAAGAAGGTTTTGTTCTGCACAATTCCTATGATGATCAGGAAATAGTGGCTCATTACGAATATGAGGAAATAGAAGAAGATTCGATCCCTCGCTTAAGCCATGTACACCCAAAGCTTCCAGACTATGATGAATTAGTAACCAAGTTCACATATATTAAGAAAGATCATATGCAGAAATATTCAAATAAACGAGCCCTTAGTAGGTGGATGTGTTGGTAGAATATACATTGGTGCCCCATTATTGAATGTATGCTGGATGCTTCAATTTAGGTTACTAAAATAGTTACTCTTACTAGTTGTTTATGGTCAACATTGCTACTCGGAATTGTATACGGTTATTTTTGTCAAGCGCAAAATTAACATTTTATTTTTTTGATTAGTGTGTGTGAGCCGTTTGGATGGCGGATGGTGGTGCAGGATATGAATAGGAACATAAATGGATAGGATTCGAAATGGTTGCTTCAAATCCGATGCCGATTAAGTCTAAATATCTGTTGGATACCACAATTCTAATTCATGTCAGAATTCATTAAGAATCAATCATCCGATATGAAAATTTAATCCAAATAATTTTGCCCTGTGTTTTGAAAGTACAATAACAAAAATTCCCCTCAACAGCCTCGGGTGCCAGACACGTAAGTTTTCTAGTCTTTGATTTGAATGAAAGTTAGAGTGAGGGACTACATTTGTTCAATATGTGAATCTTGAGGATCAATTTGACAGAATTGAAACTTTATGCATCAAAGGATGGCTAATAATAACCTCATAGACCATTAGTGCAAACAACCAAAGGAACAATTAAGCAAACCAGAACCATTAAAACAACTCTCGAAATGCCTATCTAATACCACGAATGCATTATACGTGACATAAAACAACAACAAATGATTTACAAAGATGATAATCAAATAGGTATTAAAAAAATGTAAAATCCGTGATATCATTATGTTTGTGATATTTTGTCTTTTAATCCCGACATTATGACATCATGATTTTTGAACAAGCTTCCATTTTCCCCTTCTTCATTGTAGAGGCTTCTGTTGGTCAGAAAATTTTTGTACCATTTAGCAGAAAGCTTTGGAATTCGTCTTAGTGTTTGGCGATCAATGTAATGAAGTCCAAATCTCAAGCTGTAACCACTTGTCCATTCAAAGTCATCCATCAATGACCATATGAAATAGCCGCGTACATCCGCACCATTCCTTGCAATACAAACACATATACGTATCTTCAATAAAATAACTTAGCAAATCTCAAATATCCATCCCGAGCCCATTAAACTCTTTAATATACAATTCCTGATCACCTTCTCCAAGGAATCACCTTTATGGTAGCTTGTTCATAGGTAATATCAATTGAATGATTTATGCTTCTATTAGAATATGTCTAGTTTTGGTTTTGGTGGGGCCAAGATGATATGTTGGCATAAAGTGGGGTTTATGTCGTTTGGGGGTGCGTTGTGGGGGTGTTTCAGATGATAGCGATGGAAAAAGAAACTCGTGCTGTTGGAAGATTTAGGGGAATATGCTTGATGTTAGAATTGATCGTCAATTCTAAACAAGATCCATTAGTGTAGCGCTTAAAATTCGGTTCAATAATGTTCTGGGTTCAAACCCGAGGGCGGTCACTTTATCAAAGATTAGCTCCACCAAATCTGTCCCTCTTATATCCCATTAATAGCAACTAAACGTGGCGGTGTCATTGTTTTTTTGATCAATCGCCAATTCTAGCATGCCAACTTTTTGTCTCAAGGTGGTGATAAAAGGTATAATGATTTGTGGTTCAAGGAGTGACCTTAAGTATAGCCTAATGGTAGGGAAAAAAAATTCATGAATCTGATTAACATGACTAGTTTTGACAAGGCTTTGAGATGGTCACCTTATTGCCCTAGCCAAAGAAGCAAGGTATGCTTTGTGATATTCAATTCGCTTGACATCATTTAGTAAGTCTTCAACTTGTGCCTCTTCTGGCTCTGTCGAAGAATACCCTGGAGTTTAAATGCAAAAATTGATGTTCAAAACAGAAATTTCGTGTTAGAAGTCACATAAAAATCCAATCACAAGTTACAAAATCCACCAAAATTCATTCACAAGCACATAGTACCACCACTAAAGCCCGTTTGACAAGCAAAACAAAATTGACTACAAGGGAGGAGTGGCGCTGGGTAGTTTTGCAGTGTGGCGGCGTGGGAGGCAGATGGTGGTTCTGCGTGTTGGGGAGGAGGTTCAGTTTTTCACTTAATGGGTTGGGGTATGGGTACAAATCCACATCTCTTATATTTATTTTACTTTGGCCAGCTAAATACATGGTAAAAAAGTATTTTTGCTCAACACGTTGGCGCCAACCAATTTTCAATTCTGATTGGTGGTAGCCACATCGTTGTTTCTTATAAATTCAAGGGACCCACATGAAATGTACCCGACCATCAAATTAATATTTGGATTTTATTATCTGTACATACCTACAACAACCTGTTCAAAAGAACACAAAAAAAACAAATAAACAAACAAAGGTGTTTACCTACATATCCGTTCCGGTGGACCTATAACGTCAAAATGTGAATGTAAGTGAGCCATTTACTCACCATTTTCAGTCACAAACATAGGCTTGTTATGGTATCTCTCCTTAACATAGTTGACAATCTCTTCCATGCCTCTTGGAACTACGTAACAAAATGGCATTCCTGTCTGTTGGAAACAAAAATAGTAAATTCAAGAGGAATAATAGTTGGACACAGAGAGAGAATTTTACACTAAACAAGATTCACAATTTCATACTGGTTCTCCAATAGGAATCCCATCTCGTTCTCCAGTACCCTCTACAAAGCCTTTGATCGCACGATCCGCAATTTGGCTGCAGCTAGAATATAAGCAGTCTTTGGCATATATAGTCGCATAATGGTTAATTCCAATGAAATCAATACTGCCTTTTGTGTACTCTTTTTCCTCTAGGGAGAACCTGGGTAATTCACTGCCATGGTATCGACGCATTTCTGGAGGATAATCCCCATATACTAGGGGATCGAAAACCCTGATTGACAAAAAATTATCAATACCATAATCTCAACTTTTCATAGGTCTAATAGTCCTGCAGATGACGGTAAATGTATTTTTATACTATTTTTTGCTGATTGAAATTAGCAAAAAGAATACTATGGAATACGTCACTCAGCTAAATTGAAGTATCTAGTGTCTTGTCCTCCCAACTCATCACCTCAATAACCCAAAAAAACCATGCCAATAATTATTGTTTCTACAAATTAATCTCTTGCCTATAAAAAAATTATGTTGGCAATCTTTCTTTGTACTTGAAATTTGATTCCTACAAAATATCTCACAAAACTAACAAAGAAAAGTGCAACAAATTTTGCCACAAGTGGTATTTTAGTTTTTAAATGTATCTTCCAATCCAAAGAATACCCAAAATTTGAAGCTTCAATATCAATTTGACTTGGCAAAAATTGGCCACTAGACTAGAGCCCCCGACCTCCCTATTGGAAAAATCATCCAAGCAAAGCCGATGGTGATCAAACCATAAAAAAACAGACCTTCTTCCTTTGATCTTTTTTTTCTCTTTTGTTGAACTGCTCTTGCATTAAATGAGATATTAATTATCCGAAAACTATTTCAGTAGATGGCAATTAACATCAAAACAAAATTGGTAAAGCAAACATAACAACAGACAAAGCACCCAACATTACCATTCTTCTCTAACCATCTGGGAACTCTTTCATGATGATAATAAAATTCTTCATTGAAAAAAAAAACACACATACCAGGCCACATCAAAGGCCAAGGCCCTCCTTGCAGCTTCTCGATCAAGCTCATCTTCAGTCAATGGTTCGAACATATTCATGTTTGCAACAATGCCAATAGATCCACCCTGTGTAGGCTGCATCCACATGGTTTTCAACAAAAATATCAAAACAAATACTTGTGTGAGAGTGAGTCAGTGACATCCCCCAACATATTTTTCTCAATTTATCATGAATTCAAGTATAATCCACTATCCATTTGTAGATGGGTGATCTAATGTTCAACATCCACTTTTATGAAAAGCACAAAGATTTTCAGCCAGAAAATTGCCTGAAACTGCTCACGATATAGCTTGGCAGCCTTGGCATGTGCCAATAACATGTTGTGCATCGCAACAAGAGGCTCCACATCCGAATTGCCAGCGGAACAGTTGCCAAAAGGCGCTGAACAACGAGCTGGAGGATACAAACCTTGCTCGTAGGCCAGTTCAATAAACAGGTTTGGCTCATTAATTGTCATCCAATACTTCACTCTATCACCAAAGCTCTTAAAACAAATTTCTGCCAAATGCACAAAATCTTCCCTACAAAAACACATACATGGCTACAACAATAACTTTTCAAACACAAGTATCCGACAGTGGAAATTTATTCCTTTGACCTTTTTACCAGACCCAGTCAGTTTGATAAAATAATTTCCAAACTCAGATAGCATATTAAAAACGTTATTTGAACTGACGTCGACGCCTTTTCAATAACAACGTAGACCTCATGCAAATTTTAAAAGTATTGAAAACGTCTCACGACTACAAAGAAACCAAGCATTGAATGAAACTTGCACAAAAGACATTAGTTGGATTAGCGTTTTAAGCTTATAATCGTCATTCTATCTGACATTTTTAAAAATTGTAGTTTCAAAACTACCCATTTTGGAAATAGCTGTCCCGTGGGTGGGCGTGGGGTTTGGTAAAAAGCTCATTATTCATTTCCATGAAAAGTTCAGATCTCTGAAAGATGAAATATAGAATGAAATAGGGCATACTGCATTAGAGGACTGAGCCAACCGCCATATCTGTCCTCAAGTTCTTGTGGATGGTCATGATGGCGAATGGTCACAAATGGCTCAATTCCTGTACTACATAACTAATATTAATTATATCAAAACAATAACTTTTGAAGAAGAGTAACAAGATGGATGAATTTAATTTTCTTCATTGCAACTTTGAGTAACAAACGGTCTATGATTTTGTTGTAGAACATGATTCCAATTGGATTAACTTTACCATGTCTCCCTCCTAGTACAAATCAACAAGACGATTGATAACAACTAAACGACTTTTTTAAATAAAAAAAAAGTAAATGAAATGGAAAAAATGCATACTGGGTAGAACTCTGGCCCAAGAAATTGAGAATCGGTACGCATTTATCCCCAAAGAATCCATAATCTCAACGTCTTCCTGCAATGATTAACCAAAGAAATATATATATGGGTGTCAAAATGTGATTGAACGAAATTAGAAAGTTTGATCTTTCCTCAACTCGTAGAGAAGTAAACTCAACACGGCACGATTAATAATCGAATTAATACTAAGAGAAGTTATTAAAAAAATATATAATATAATTTTTTTATATACCAATTATATATATTTATACATGACACTAATTCAATATAATACAATTCGTTATTAGAAACGAATTAATAAACAAATTTGGGTATAAGTAAAATATTTTTTTGTTTGACACGAAACCGTTTAATCCGACACGATTCATAGGAGTACATATAACACAAATCTTTTGTTTTAATTTCGTTCCGAACATTAGGAAGAAGTACTAACAAGAAATTAAAGTTAGGGGTAATACCAAGTAACGATGGTAATGATCATCAGCTACATCTCCATTTTCCCCACTTGTTATTCTACCTGGAATCGTTCCTCCAAATGCTTAATATCGAATCATATTCGCTGGAACTTCATCGATTTCACCACGAAAGAAATAAGAGAACTGAGTGAGCATTTGGATGATATTCTTTTTCTTTTTTCTTTTTACCTTGGATACGAGTGAAAACATCCCAATTGCTGAGACTTTTACCAGCTTCAAGATAGGCTCCTTCAATCTGCCAAAAAAATGGTTAATTTGATTCAAGAGAAAGGGCAGAACACGTTAAAACAAAGAACATGAATACCCAGGCCGAACATTAATACCCAGTCTATGAGAGAATCTCTAGTCCCGGCATGATGGTCTGATCGGATCGAAAAAAATTAGTTGAGATGTACGTAAATTGACTCGAATACCCCTTTTTAGAGTTGAAACAAAAAGAAACAAGAACATAGGAAGGAGAGAAGACGAACTTGATACGAAGAAGTTGCTGCTCCGAAGAAAAATCCATTTGGAAATTGTGGTCGTTGGAGTTTTTCTACTTCTTCTTCATTGAAGCCCTCACCAAATGATTGAGCAGGAAATAGTAAGAATATACGAAAGAGGAGGATGATCAGGGTAGTGGTGGTGACTTTCATTGTGGATTGCTCTGTTGGAAATTCAAACTTTCATGGGAAGAAGCAAACTCCAGCTTATTTACGAGAGCATTAGGATTGTCCAAGGGACAAAATTATATTTTATCAAAATTTATTTAATTTTTCTTCAATGTATTTATAATTATACTAGATTTGTGTGGACCATGATGAATTCCCAAAGCTCAACTCAAACTTAATAACTTTGTATCATATTTGGGAATTAAGTGTACTGTGGATAGTAGTATTTTCATAATACTTTTAACACCATTTGCTTCCTTTTTTTGCCTCTCCCTTTTCTGTTTTGCGAGTGCAAGGTGGATAGTAGTATTTTTATAATACTTTTTAACACCATTTGCTTCTTTATTATTTTACTTTTTTTTTTATATTCATCTCTGTTTCTTCTGTCACACTCACACAAAAAGCACATGCGCACACGTGCCTCCCTTTTTCTCTCCTGTACTCTACCTCTCTCCTCCGGTTCTTTCTCCTGTCTCATCGTTGAAATTTCAACAGGGAAATCCCCAAAATCAAAGCCAATCTGTCAATCATTCGAACTAAACCCAAGGTTCCGGCCAATTTCAACCGTTGGTGAGAACTGCCAGCTGCCACCGCAACCTACTTCTCAAATCCAAGATTTTTTTTGAACAGTTTGCACATGGGAGGGGTAGGTGAAATTGTAACCGGACCTTTTTAAGTTGAACAGCGGGGTGACCGGCTATTAACCCACCAAAAATCCTTTCTCAAACCCAAGTTCAAAATACTATATTCTGAGTCAGATACAATGTGAATAATGGATGGGGTAAAGTAAAATTCTACATGGGAAAAGTTCTACTAACCCTACATAGATGAATAATTGATGGGCAAATAGGTAAAACGTACATTGACGTTATTGCTGTTAACCGCAAATATAAAATTTTAAATAATATAAAAAACATTATTTAGTATATGTATAATTCAAATTCACTTTGCTCTATTATATTTCGCACCAATTTGACTATAGTTCAATCATGAATATATATGTATGTATATAAATGTATAATGGAATTAAACAATTATATGATGAAATTTAGTTGAAATTCAATTATAATTTCATAAGTTTTTGTTAAATTGAATTATTAAAATAAGATGGATTTTTAATTTTTAATAAATTGTTTCGACTCGAATTGCAGATTTTAAATTGAATTCAGTAGAAATTCAATCAAAACTTGATTGGTTGACAGACTTGGTGCTGATAGTTTATTTTCTTGAAACTCCAGTAAAGCAGCTTTAGGATTAGTGGTTAGAAATTCAGTGGGCAGCTAATAGACGGAAGAGCAACAAGAATCATACCAATACAGCAAAATTTTCAAAACATTGGTAATTAGGGATGTTGATACTGATGACTTCTATTCAAAGTTTGAAGGTTAGATGCAAATATTAATATCACAAGGGGCTGTTTGGTAAGGAGTATAAGGGACTTGATAAGTTGAGTTTAGAAAAAATAGTTCAAAAGATCCCCAAATTTCATGTTTTGATTAAAAATTCAATCCCGAGTTTATATACCCGACCTGTAACTGGCCCAAATATTAAACTCGCGATCATGAGTTTCGTCAAACCTGTGGGAGAGGTGGGTTTGGAAAGATACGTTAAAGTGTTAAGGATGCAAAAGATAATTGTACTCCTTAATATAGTAATTTACAGGACACATAATTGTTAATTATTATGATATATTTGTGGGTTCTACATGTATATGTGTTATATATCAAACATGGTTATGGACCGAATTCAATGTTGAATCTTATATATGTAAAAAGTGATTTGAGTTTAAAAGAATTTGAAAAAATCAATCCAAATCGTCCCCAAAAATCAATCCAAACAAGCCCTAAGTATTAAGTGTTAAAAACTTCTCTGTAGTATTCTGAATGTGTTATTGAAACTGAATGTGTTATTGAAACTTACGGAACCTATCCTCTCGGTTGTGAGAAGACTGTTTGTAGTGTAGTCTAAGTCTTCTCTTTAACGTAGGGCTGTGTTCTCTAAACATGTTTGAGCTTTGTTGTATATTCAATTTTTTAATATATAAAATTTCGGATTCTATTTAGAAAAAAAAAAACTAATAACTTGGAAGTGATTTATAAAAACCATGGCCATCAATTCTCAATGGTTTTTCGAGTGTGATCTAGCAATGACAGCTTTCATAGGTCCACTATGCACTGATAAATTTGCTCTAACGACCAAAAGTTGCAACAACCCACCACCATTTTTATAGATAGATAGCTAATCAAAGGGGTTGTGGAGGTTATTCTGTGATGAAGTATAGTAAATTTTAGTTTAAAAAAAGTATATTATATAGGTATAGGCTTATGTACCATTTTTTTAGTACAGAAAATTACACTTTAATCCCTTAACTATGTCTTATCTCATTTGTCCCTTCAACTATCATCCTTCTTACATTGACATTTCCAACTATAGTTATTGATTTCTTAGTGCTCTTTCAATTATTATATTTCTTACATTACACATCCAACAATGATTTTGATTTCACAATGCCTCAGCTATAGATATTGGGATAATGTATTTTACTATATTCTTGGACATTTTTTGTCCAAAACCTAATGGACATTTTATTTTGAGACAATGCCAAATTAATTGAAGTAGTCAAGGTAACGTGAGAAGCACAATAATTGTGGAGTCAAAATGAGATCGGTGTCATAGTTAATTGGGTAAAAGTGTAATTTTCTATTTTTTGAAAATACACTAAAAGTTGGGTAATTATTTGTTATGATGATGATATGACGTCATCTAAACACATGGTATCACGACCAGATTGTTAAAAAAAATCATGTATGCACGGTGTGTATGCAGCATATAGGGCATGGGATAGTTATTCAATTTTGTCAGATCTATGCCATAGTTATTCAATACACCGTGAATATTTAGTGTCTTATTATTAGATTATGATATACGTGTATAGTTCTTATTTATGTTTATTGTTTGCAATTTGTTTGAATATAAAATAAATATTATTATGAATATTTAATGTATCGACATCTGACAATTTGAATGTATTAAAAAGATATTACGTGATAAAAACTGAAAAAATACAAAAAATGATCAACCACAACTATGCTTTAAAAAACAAATAACTAACTAGATGTTAATATTTAGTAACCATCAATAAAAGCAAAACAGTTGAAGACACTGCCTATAAAAGTGTATGTAGTGGAGAAGATGAAAGATATATTCAAACCCCCACAAGACCCATAATTTAGACATTTTTAGGAGTAGTTTTAAGTTAATTTTAGAAGGCAGTTACTACTACATTCAAAGTTGTTAATCAGTCTTTTTTGCAATCGAAGTCCCTTTGATTAAATTAATAAAAGAATCTTCTTTTATTAGTTATCTACACTATGTGTTTGTTCATTAAATTCATTCAAGAAAGTCTTGAAATAAGATATTTGAATCCCTCATAAATAATCGCTCGAGAACTATTTGTTGATTGAGATCTTTCCATTAATAACAACAGATTTTTGGAACAACAATCTTTTGACACGCTCAGTGGGACAACATAACTAACTTGAATCAAGAAAATGGTTCGAACAAGGAAACAATACGAGATTGTGTTTAGTACTACTGAAAAATATGGAATTAATGTCAATCAATGGCAATCATGAAGCAAGTTCGAGTATTAATCCTGTAAAATTTGCAAATCCAAAAAATGGCCAAATCAGTACCTAGGATAATTTGCAAATGCAAGAATTTGTGCAAAATCTAAAGCATGTATTGTCTAATCTTAAGTCTGGAATTTAAGATTTGGTTAATGTCATGCATGAGTTAATGAGTATCTAGACATCAAAGTCAAGACCAATTAATCAAAAAATCAAGTATTATAATTCGAAATCCAACAATAGAAGAAGAAAATACCGGTCATGTGGTGTTTTCTATAGAAAATTAGAGACCACCACCAATGGTTACTAATGAAAGACCAGGCCCACCACATCAAAATTATTTTAATATAATATTTAATAGGAAACCTGTGGAAATGTTCTCAAATTTCTTCCCAAGAAGAAATCTTAGGGGAAAAATGAACAAGGATAGNTTTATTTTACTTTTTTTTTTATATTCATCTCTGTTTCTTCTGTCACACTCACACAAAAAGCACATGCGCACACGTGCCTCCCTTTTTCTCTCCTGTACTCTACCTCTCTCCTCCGGTTCTTTCTCCTGTCTCATCGTTGAAATTTCAACAGGGAAATCCCCAAAATCAAAGCCAATCTGTCAATCATTCGAACTAAACCCAAGGTTCCGGCCAATTNGTATTTAATAGGAAACCTGTCAAAATGTTCTCAAATTTCTTCCCAAGAAGAAATCTTAGGGGAAAAATGAACAAGGATAGCCCTTGAATTTTCTAAGAAAGACCGTGAGAGGCATGTGAGAGGCATGTGATGACCGCACTAGAACCCACGAAGCAATTCAACTCAAGGGCAGGGGCCAACCCTTTGACTAGTTTTGTAACTCTCCGATTTTTCAACCAAGTAAAAATAATAGAGTACTAATTTATTAAATACATCAAATTGAAAGTAAAATTTATCCCAATCAAATTACATTTATCAATATCATCTTCCAATACAAATAAATCTCTCTTATTTTTAATATTTTGATTATTTCGTTCCAATCTTTCTTCTAAAATCAACTTGAAAATATTAAATAAAGTAGGAAAGCATATAATATGATGAGGAATAATATGTTTAAGGGCATTCAATACCAAATAAGTCAAGTATCATAAAGCATATCAATCAACAAATACAAATTAAAACATTTTTATTTGTATTCGCATATCACACGTCATGCGAGATCTGACACTTTACCGATCATCCCACCTCAACCAAATCTCACAGTCTATTGGCTGGCGATGCATCAAACTATTGGTTGGTACGATCCTGTTTTAATTCACACAAAATACAATTAATGAGATTAATATATTTAACGATATTCAATTAGAGTTCAAAAAATATCGATCTCAC